CCCAAGCACTGTGTGTTTAATTTTACTGCCTTTAGCTGTTTAACTTTATAAGAAGCGGAGAGTTTGGAATAAGTTTAAATGACTGCTGCTCCTTTTCACATCAAAGTATTGAGGACTACTGACAACAAAGGGCCACATACTTATCCTCCCATCTGCCTGTCTGGCTGGCAGGAAAGGAAGAGAACTTGCATGTTGGTGAAGAAGTTGGGTAGGACAACAATGAAATCTAGAGTAAAATCCAAGCTGTTCTAAGGTGCTGTAAAATGCTGCTTAATCAGAGTGTTATTTTTTTGTTGTTGTTAAATGATATTAATTATTGGAATGGAGTGTCTTTTTAATATGTAAATAAAAAGTTTTAAAACTTGAAAAAAGTATACTGGTTGGGGTTAACAGCAATTAGATATTATAGAAGGAAAGACTAATGAACTTGAAAGCACAGTGACAGAAAATAATCCAAAATGAAATAGAGGAAAGAGAGGAATAAAAAGTTTTTAATAGAAAGAGTGTCTTTGACCTGTGAATATCAAAGAACAATCCCCCAGTGGGCTAATAATATGGGCAATCAGAATCTCTGCAAGAGAGAAGAAAGAGAAGGAAAGAAAAATTCTTGAATTAGTAGGCCAAAATTTTTCCAAAATTGAAGAAAACTGTAACCCACAGATTAAGAAACTTTAAACCCATAGCACATAAAACATGAAGAAAACTACTCTGAGGCACATCATAACCAAGTCACTCAAAACCAGTCATAAAAGAGAAAATCCAAAAAGGAGCCAGGTTGTGGGTGGGCAGAAGAACATGTTATATAGGAACAAAGAATAAGGATAAACACCAGATTTCTCATCAAAAATAATATAAGTGAGAAGACAGTGGAACAACCGCTTTAAAGTACAGAAAGGAAAAATCATCAACATAAAATTCTCTGTTGACAAATTCTTTTGGCAAAAAATCTTTCAAAAATGAAGGCAAATTAAGATGTTTTTAGATACACAAAACCACTTTGCCCTATAAGAAATGTGAAAGGAAGTACTTCAAGCAGATTAAAAATGGTACCAGCTGGAAATCTGGATCTACACAAAGAAATAAAGATCACCTTTTATACTTAGCAAGTATAAAAGGATTATTTTCTTATTATTTAAAAAATGTTAGAATATAATTGACCATGTATACAAAAATAACAGCATATTGTGGAGTTTATAGCACAACATGTAAAAGCAAAATGCATGGTAATAGTATAGAGGTACAGAGCAATAAATGTAAACTGTTGTCAGGTTTTTATACTATACATGAAGTACTATATAATGTGACTTTAAGTTACACTGTATTGGTAATTTAATGTAAACATTAAAGATGATTAATATAAAAGCTACAGTGACCACTAAAATAAAAGAATGAGTTACAGATAATAAGACAACAAAAGAGATAAAAGAGAATCATTAAAAATATTAATCCTAGGGCACCTGGATGGCTCAGTCAGTTAAGCGGCTGACTCTTGATTTCAGCTCAGGTCATGATTTCAAGGTCATGGGATTGAGCCCTGTGTCAGGCTCTGTGCTCAGCAGAGTCTGCTTGAGGATTTCCCACCTTCTTCCCCATCCCCTCCCCTCCTCCCTATTGTGTTCTCTTTCTCTCTAAAATTAATAAATTAATCTTTTAAAAAAAGCAATTCTATTAGTCCACAATAAGTCAGGTAAAGGGGAACAACAAAGATAGGACAAATAGCAATATGATAGTCTCAGACCTGATCATAACAATTGGATGAAATTGGTCTAAACACTGCAATCAAAAGGCAGCAATTGTCAGATTGAATTAAAAAGCAAGATCCAATTACATGCAACTTACAAGGAGCACATTATAGACACAAAGCCAGAAAAAGATTTAAAAGATTGGGAAAAGATTATATTATACTATATTCATCAAAAGAAAGCTGGAGTAACTATATTAATACTAGACAAAGCAGCTTTCAGAGCAAGGAACATTATTACACAAGGTTATTTCATAATGATAAAGGGGTCGATTAATCAACAAGACATAATAATCCTAAATGTTTATGCATCTCATAAAAGATCTTCAAAATACATGGGGCAAAAACTGATACAGACTTCAAGGAGAAATAAAACAAATTCACAAATATAGCTGAAGATTTCTAACCCTTCTCTTAGTACTTGATAAAACAAATTGTCAGATAATCAGTAAGATATAGTGGGTTGGGGACGCCTGGGTGGCTCAGCGGTTTAGTGCCTGCCTTCGGCCCAGGGCATGATCCTGGGGTCCCGGGATCGAGTCCCGCATCAGGCTCCTTGCGTAGAGCCTGCTTCTTCCTCTGCCTGTGTCTCTGCATCTCTCTGTGTCTCTCATGAGTAGAGAATGAAATCTTAAAAAAAAAAAAAACCTATAAGATATAGTGGGTTGAATAATATTCTCAACCGATTTGACCTGATTGACATTCATAGAACACGTCATTCAACAGGAGAATATGCATTCTTCTCAAGTGCACATGGAATATTTACCAAGATAGAGTGTATTTGGGGATATAAAACAAGTCTCAATAAGTGTATGTAAGGCATAAAAAGTATGATCTCTGTTGGTTAGCTGGGGATACAGTAACAAAATAGCACATTTTGGATGTCTTAAATAATAGAAATTTATTTTTTTCACAGTTCTAGAGGCTGGAAATCCAAGGTCAGGGTACCGGCAAGGTTGGGTTTTGGTGAGCACTCCATCCCAAAGATCCAGTCACCAAATACCATCATACTGGAAGTAGGGCTTCAACCAATGAACTTTTGGGGGAGGGTAGCAGACACATTCAGTCCCTAAGGGATCACAATTGAATCAAATTAGAAATCAATAACAGAAAGAGATGCAGAAGATTCCCAGATATGTGGAAACAAAAATAACACTACCATACATCCAAAAAGAAGTCAAGTAGGAAAATAAAGCACTTTGAATTAAAAGAAAGTGAAAACACCCAATTTATGAGATGCAACAAAAGCAATGCTTGGGGGGAATTAACTTCTCTAAATGCCTAGGTTGGAATAGAAGAAAAAAGGTATCAACAATGTAAACTTTAACCTTAATAAACAAGCTGGGAGGAGAGCAAATTAAATCCAATTTAATAAACAGGCAAAAGGTAAGAATGATCAGAGCCAAAATAAGTGAAGTATTTTCTCTAGGGGTAGAGAAAAATCAGTGAAACTAAAAGCTGATTTTTAAAGGCCAGTAAAAGTAGTAAACCTCTGGCCAGACTAATCAGAAAAAAGAGAAGACATAAAACCAGTATCAGGAATGCGAGAGGTGATATTACTAGAGCTTACAGATATTAAAAGGATAATAAACGACCCCTATCAACAACTTTATACCAGTGAATTTGGTGACTTAGATGAAATGGACCAATTCTTTGAAAGACACAATCTGAAAGACACGATCTGGTAAAGCTCACTCAAGAAGAAATCAATAGCCTGAAAAGCCCTATATTTATTAAAGGAATTTAAGACTGTCAGACTGTTTTCCAAAGTGTTTGCACCACTTTACATTCCCTCCAACAATGTCCTTGATTATTATCTGATTTTCTAGTTACAGCCATCCTCATGGGTATGAAGGTGCTTATCTCATTCCGTTTGGATTTGTATTTTCCTGATGACTAATGACGTGAAAAATCTTTTTGTGTACTTCTTGGTCTTTTGCATGTCTTTCATTTGCATATCTTCTTTGGAGAGGTATTTATTCAGATCCTTTGCTTATTGTTTAATTGAGTTGCCTTTTTATTATTGAATTGTAGGAGTTGTTTTATGTTCTTAATGCAAGGCCCTTACCAGACATATAATAGATATTTTTCTCTTATCCTATGAGTTGGGGCTTTTTGATTATGTCCTTTGAAGCACAAGGTTTTTATGTTGAAGTCCAATTTATCGTTTTTTTGGCTTGTGTTTTTGGCATCGTATATAAGAATCCACTGTTAAATCCAAGATTGTGAAGATTTATTCTTGTGTTTCATCTAAGAATTTATAGTTTATTCAAATTATTCAAATTAATTAAAATTAAATGTAGAATTCAGTTCCTCATTATACTCTCACATATTAAATGCTCATGTGGCTAATGTCTACCCAGTGCAGATACAGAATGTTTCCATCATTGCAGGAAGTTCTTTGGGACACAAACACTTTAACATAGTTGAAGATGAGCTAAGAACTTGAACAGTTAGTTAACAAAAAAAGAAAAAAATGAGAACTCAACGTACACAAAATTGTTTAGTAGTTAAAGAATGCAAAATTAGAAAAGAGATTGGATTGTTAGTTCCTTGGATGGACAATGGACTACTTCCTTCAGGTCTTGACTTAGAAATCATGCCAGTGTGGCTATTCCAACCCACCCTATTTAAAATTTCAAACTTAGTCTTTTCATTTCCTACATTTTCTCATTAGCTGTAACCATTAATATACATTTAACTTACTTGTCTATTGTTGGTATCCGCCCTCTTTGAATATACAATCCATGAAAGCCTGTTTTATGCACTATTTGTTGTAATCTCCACTATGTAGAACAGCCCTATATATAGCAGAAACTCAAGAATATGTTAAATGAAACCTGATAAGGTATAGAGAAAAAATGCTCTCATACACTGCTATCAGAGAGTAAATTGGTATAACTTTGTTGAAAGCAGTTATGTAGTATGTTAAAGTCTCAAAAATTGTGCTTGCCTTGTGACCCAACACTTCTCTTTCTAGGTATTTATCATATGGAAGTAATTAAGGATGTGCACAGAGATATGGTTGTTAGATTCAGCCACAACGGAATGCTTTTATCTGCAGTCAGGAGAACTCTTGAACTGACATATTAGAAGGAATGTAGATTGTTTTTCAAAATGTGGCAACAAGAACTGTTTAAAGAGCCTTTCCAATCTTTTGTAATGCCTTAGCATGTTAAAATATTGTCTCATTACTGACTTTTTAAACATACTTCTTTCTTAAGCAGAATTAAACTTGCCTATACAATTTTTTCCACAGGTCCCTTAATATGGACTTTGAAAATCAAGATAAGGAAAAAGACAATAGCAGTTCTTCTGGGTCTTTCAATGGCAACAGCACCAATAATAGTAAGGCATTTTATGTCAATTAACCTTCATACATGTAGTGGTCTTAATTAGATTCTTTCTATAACCCCAGTTAATTTACTGGGTGTAAGGATTTATGCTTGGTTATAATAATAAAATCTAATCTATATGGTATAATTTGTAAAAATTCTTAATGTTCTGAATCTAAACCACTGATTTCTTGTGTACTGCAGGTGTCTGCCTGCTTATGACTTCATTTAATTTCTTTGATGTTGATTATTTTGTAATAATCATTGATCACAGATTCATTCAGGGACTTTTTTTTTTTAAGATTTTATTTATTTATTCATGAGAGGCAGAGACATAGGCAGAGAGAGAAGCAGGCTCCATGCAGAGATCCTGATATGGGACTTGATCCCGGGACTCCAGGAACATGCCCTGGGCCTTCCGCTCAGGGAGTGATCCCAGGATCCTGAGATCAAGTCCCTCATTCGGCTCCCCACGGAGTCACCCAGGCGCCCCAGATGCTTATTTAAATGGTGGTTTTCCTAAATCTGCCTCCCATATTGTGCTGAATTATCTTCACAGAAATATTTTCTCAGTGCCTCATCTGGGCCATGAATACCAGGTGCTAGTAAGTAGTGAAAAGCCTGCTTCTTTAATGGAGGTACAAAATCAGTAACTTTCTTAATTATCAATAATATGGTGGTGTATTGTTCATTATCTATTTCATGACCATATATATTTAGCCTATAGCCTTGCCTTGTTCACTAATTGCTAAAAATAATTTCTCTATACTGATTTTTTCCATCACCATGCCTCTTTCTCTCTTTTTTTCTTTTTCTTTTTCTTTCTTTTTCTTTTTTTTATTTTTTTGAGACTGCCCTCGATCTCTGTGTTCCACTAGCTTCTTGCCACTGTTCGAAAGGGCCTGCCTTATCTCTAGGTCAGCCTTGAAGAGAAAACCATCCTATTTCTTTTTTCTTTTTCTTTTTTTTTAAGATTTTATTTATTCATGAGAAACACACACACAGAGAGAAAGGCAGAGAGACACAGGCAGAGGGAGAAGCAGGCTCCATGCAGGGAGCCCGTCATGGGACTCAATCCCGGGACTCCAGGATCACACCCTGGGCTGAAGGCAGGCGCCAAATCGCTGAGCCACTCAGGCATCCCCCATCCCTATTTCTTATGTTAATTTTAGCTTTAAAGGTAATGCCAGTTGCATTGGAGTAACTCCTCAATTATGAGGGCTCTGTTTTGCTATGCTCTGTTTTGTTTTGAAGTCACTGAAATGTGGCTGAAATTTCTGACTAATCAGCTCCATCCCCTTCAGGACCATTATCTCCAGACCTTTAGAAAGTACAGTATTGAAATTGTATACATTTTTTTAGTTAGCATATTGTCAGCAACTAAAGGAACTTCCCTTGCCCTCTGACACTGATGTTTGGTAAACTCCCTTTGGGCATTCTTTTATAAAACTAATGGAAGCAGTGTCTCATACCTCCACAGTTTAAAATCCGTGCTTTCAAAAAAAAAAAAAATCTGTACATTCTTTCTAGAAAAGCTCTTTGTATTCAGTTTTGATTGCAGACTGAACTTCTAAAATTTAGATTTTTATAAACAAATACTTCTTTCATACCTGACTTACTAATCAGTCTTTCTTCTAGCCAGCCATTTAAATTTTCTGTCCATATTTTAAACCAGTATAATTAATCTGTAGACTACATGATGTTTTGTTTTACAAAAGAGGAGGGTGCAAGTGTGTGTTTTAAGACTTGTTTTTCCTCATATAAAAATTATTTGAGAAACCATTATTTTCTGTTGGGAAAGGCACCTGAAATGTAGTTTCCTCTAGTAGTTCTTTGACCAAGTGTAGAGTACTCAGATAAAACAACTAGGTGAGGGATCCCTGGGTGGCGCAGCGGTTTGCCGCCTGCCTTTGGCCCAGGGCGCGATCCTGGAGACCCGGGATCGAATCCCACGTCAGGCTCCCGGTGCATGGAGTCTGCTTCTCCCTCTGCCTGTGTCTCTGCCTCTCTCTCTCTCTCTGTATGACTATCGTAAATAAATAAAATAAAAATAAAAAAAACCAACTAGGTGAATTTCATATAGAGTTTTGTCTCATAAATGTCCATAATACACTTTAAGATTGTATGCGTGCACACGATCCAGGGGCCAAGTTTAACTGCAGTTCTGGTCAGCCATCTTAAGAGAACATGTCTATCTTGAAACATAGGTCACTCTTCCTAAATTGAAATGCCCTATTCCTTGGGTGAATTATTTGACTCTTCCGCCTAGCCAGTGAGAAGCAATTTTGTTTTGTAGAAATATTTAATATTTAACAAAAATACCTAAATAGCTTTCTTGGGACAGATAAATTTAAATACCAAAGAGCAGTTTTTATTTATTTTTTATTTACTGTAGTTCAATTTGCCAACATATAGCATAACACCCAGTGCTCCTCCCACCAAGTCCCCCCCCCCCCCAAAGAGCAGTTTTTAAGCATTAGTTGATGATTGCAGCCTTTTCTGCCTAGTTATGTTCATCCTGGTCACATTATATCTTATTCATAGCCTTAATTTACTGAAAAGAAACATTTACTTCTGGCATTTCTTTATAATAGCTCATATGAATATTTTTTCTTTGATTCCTCTCAAGAACTTTGTATCTCAGCAGGTTCTTGTGGAAGTAGATCGTACACAGATTAGTAATTTTTTCTTTTAATTCAGTGGTTATCAGATTGTGCCATATTTCTCTTCTCTACCAGATACTTTATTATTAATGCTTCTCAACTCTGTATGTACAAGAAAATTTCAGGAGTTTTTAACGGGCCCTACTAACCCCCAGAGATTTCAGTTTCATTGATCTGGGGTTGGGCCTGGGCATTGTAATTGTTAAAGCTCTCCAGGTGATTCTGATGAATAACCACGAACTGAAAACCACTGTGCTAAATCTTACTGTATCCCAAGTAATTGTTTTCTCCCATTTATCTCTTATTGGTTCCCATAAAATAATTTTTCTGATTTTTGGTTTTCAGGTGTCTTGTTCCCTCCACTCCCTAGCCCAGAGGTGATCCTCAGTGACAGTGGAGAAGAGTGAACATGAATAAATCTGTAGATGATGATGTTATCTTACTTAGTATATTTAAACCACCTCTTTTACCAAACCTGCACATGAGACTACAGATGTACTCAAATTGACTAATGTGAATTTTTACTACCGGTTGTTGTTCCTGGTTTTCTGTTTTTGTTTATTTTTGATGTTTTGTTTTTTTGTTGTTGTTGTTTTTTGTTCCCTGTCAACCAGATTGTTAGCAGCAGGAGGTGGTAGTTCAGTTCAAAAGTATTTCTTGAGCACCTGCTATAATGAAAGCACCATGAAGAGAGCAAGAAGTTCATAATTTCAGTGGGAAGGAAAGAATCAAAGGACCTAGATGATCTATGTCTTATGTACTAACCCCTGCAACTGTTAATGTCTCTGAAGTAGGGACATAGCACCTGTTATTTAAGTCATTAATATGTCCCTTTTTCTCTTTTAGGTATCCAAACTATTGACTCTACCCAGGCGCTGTTCCTTCCAATTGGAGCATCTGTCTCTCTCCTAGTAATGTTCTTCTTCTTTGACTCAGTTCAAGTAGTTTTTACAATATGTACAGCAGGTAAGTGAGTTTCTTCTCTATTCTTAAACATTAACCTTAAAGGAAATTTTTTCACCTCTTTTAATCATCATTCAAAACTTAAGATTTATATACCCTGCTATGCAAGTTTTTCTTCTTAAGTCTGATTTTTACTCCCTACACTTCTCTTTGAACCACTGGATGATACACATATCATCAGTTCGGGACTGCCAGCACACCCTGAATAAAAGGCCAGGGGTTTGAAAACTTTTGAGTTTTATGACACCATAGTAGGACCATTTTGACTGTGGCTCCTTGTCTGGAAGATTACCAGAAGGTCCAATGTGGCAGAGAGCAGTCATTGGCATCCCCCACTGATGTTTCTGTAGATAGACACAGTGATAATCAGTAATTGAACTGTCAGCCCTCTGATCAGTTTTTAAGTCAAGAGGTAATAGAGTGTATAAAACGTCAGCAAAATGCTGGACATGGCAGATCATACCCTGGCCTGCTGTTTCTCTTTTCGTGTTAAGATAGAATGAGAACCCCTAGATGTCTCTGCTTTCCCCTACTTCAAATCAGGTACTTCTTCTCAAGACTTTATCTGTACAATGCTGACAGAAGACATTTTTCTTTGGTTAACTATTTGTATCTGTTGAGAAAAGTTTTCTGGGCAGTAAGTGTTTCCATAAGTCATGCCATTTTTCCTATAGTTCAAACTAAACAAAAGTTAACTATATATTTTCTTTCTCTAGTTCTTGCAACAATAGCTTTTGCTTTCCTCCTCCTCCCGATGTGCCAGTATTTAACAAGACCCTGTTCACCTCAGAATAAGTAAGGACTTGGGATTTTCCTCTAAATTATGAATTTGTGTATGTTTTTATCTTATACTTGATAGCATTGTTAGAAGTCTAAATTTCTGGTATTGACTGAGCACACAAATACCAGAAGACTGGGAAGGGAGATGTTTGATCTTTAAGACTGGAAGATGGTACTTCTTTTTGCACCTTTTCATAGCAGAGGAAATGTAAACAAACTTAGGCAGTCTGGGTTGTTGAAATATGCTTCCTGCTTAGATTATTGAAAGATAAACAGTTTTGTTTTGAAGCACTGCTTTCATTCCTTTACTAGGGAGCTAATGGGATATGAAAATAGTGGTTGACTGAAATATTTTTGCCTTTCATCTTTGGTGACCTAGAGTATATACTAGCCACTATGGTCTAAACCCTGTGTATACACTTTTTACAACTTAACTCCTAAAGCCATCGCTCCATGGAAACAAAATGCTGTGCTAACAGAGATGCCATATGCACTTAGGAAACCAGGTACTTGGGGCAGCTGATTTTCCCAGGAATTCGTGATAACCAGATAGTTACTGCCATTTTATAAATATGTATTCATCCTTGCCCAGTGGATTGAAGGTCAATACTTCATTTTGTTTTCCTCATAAGAACAGAATTTCCTGTATCATGTACTTTAACTCTCCAAAGATTGGCATTGTAACTTTTTTTTTTTTTTTTTTTTTTTTTGCGTTGTAACTTTAAACTTCTAAACACCCATGTTGATAATTTTGGATAAAAAGTATAGTATCAGATGGGTGCAGAAGTATAATTAATTCCTCTGCATATCTGTAGCTTACTCAAAGGAGGTTTGGATATTTTCAAATTCCATATGTCCGGGTATAGCCTGCTTTTCTAATCTGACCATCATGAGCTCTGGGCATGAAGGACCAAGGGAGATTTTGGTTATTGAAATATGATGTATTGCTATATTAGTCCAATAAATGTGTGTTTTCCAGGATTTCCTTTGGTTGCTGTGGGCGTTTCACTGCTGCTGAATTATTATCATTCTCTCTGTCTGTCATGCTCGTCCTTATCTGGGTTCTCACTGGCCATTGGCTTCTCATGGATGGTGAGTAACATATGAAAAGTTGAAGTTTAATATAGTTTATGTAATTAAATTTGTCCTTCCTTCCTTTGCTTTCTGTGTTTTAGTAATATTTCCTCTGGTTGGGCAGCCTGGGTGGCTCAGTGGTTTAGCACCGCCTTCAGCCCAGGGCGTGATCCTGGAGACCCAAGATCGAGTCCCACGTTGGGCTCCCTGCATGGAGCCTGCTTCTCCCTCTGCCTGTGTCTCTGTCTCTCTCTCTCTCTCATGAATAAATAAAATATTTAAAATATATATGTATATATACGTATACTCTGATTACCATGAATATTAGATATTCTTAGGTGGTGTTAATATTGTTGAGTTTTTTATTATTTTTACCCACATTTTTAAGATATTTTTGAATAACAGCTTTTTGAGGTATAATTCACGGTATACCATATAATTTACCTACTTAAAGTGTAAAATTCAGTGAGAGAGTTGTGCAGCCATCACTACAGTCAATTTTGGAGCATTGTCATCATCCACCCTCCAAACCCCATACCCAGCAGTCACTCCTCATTACCCACCTGAGCCCCAAGCATCCACTAGTCTCCTTTCTCTCTCTGTGGATCTACCTTTTCTGGACATTGCACATAAATAAAATCATACATTATGTGGCTGTGTGTCTGTCTCCTTTCACTTAGCATGATATTTTCAAGGTTCATTCACGCTGTAACCTCAATTGGTACTTCATTTCTTTCTCTGGCCAATTACTGTTTGTTTGCATAGATATGCCAGTTTTATTTACCCATTCATCAGTTGTTGCCACTTTTTTGGCTATTATGAATAATGCTGCTATGAACATTCATATACATGTTTTTATGTAGATTATACTGTTACATAAATGGAATAATACTGTTACATATATTACATACAAACGTGTAGAATATATTACATATATGTCATACACAATAGACTTTTTATGTAATGATATGTCTGTATCGTTAACATAGAGGTGAAGCATATCCTTTTTAAAAATTCCAGAGTATTCCATTGTGTTACTGAACTATTTCTGGACCTTTAGATTTTTTTTTTTGTTTTAAGATTTTTATTTATTTATTCATGAGAGAAAGAGAGGCAGAGACATAGGCAGAGGGAGAAAGCAGGGAGCCCAATGCAGGACTCGATCCCAGGACCCCAGGATCACACCCTGAGCCAGAGGCAAACGCTTAACCGCTGAGCCACCCAGGAGTCCCCCCTTAGATTGTTTACCTTCTGTTATAAATAACCCTGAGATAAACATTCTTGTTTCACCTCTGGGTACACATGTCAGATTACTTAATAAGATTGTTTCTATGGATGGGTTCCTAGATATGAAATTCCTAGAGTAAAGGATTTTTGTTAAAAATTCTTTTTTCTCGGGATCCCTGGGTGGCGCAGCAGTTTAGCGCCTGCCTTTGGCCCAGGGCGCGATCCTGGAGACCCGGATCGAATCCCACGTCAGGCTCCCAGTGCATGGAGCCTGCCTCTCTCTCTCTCTCTCACTATCATAAATAAATAAAAATTTAAAAAAAAATTCTTTTTTCTCTATTACTGTACTGCCTTTCAGAAAGGCAGTAGCAGTTTACATTTCTATCTGTGGCACATGAGAATCCCCCTTGATGGGTGATGATAAGGATGAACTAAGAATGGCAGTAAGAGCTAACATTTATTGAATGATATGCATTGGGTGCTTTCCTGGGTGTTTACATGGATTAACTCATTTAGTCCTGAAAAAGTCTTTGAAGGAGATACTTATTCCCACTTGACAGAAGAGGAAACAGGTTTCAGGGAAGTCACTTATCCAGTCCCAGAACTCTTGTGTATACTTCATACTTCTCATCAGAATATCTTGGGAGGGACATTTCCAAAAATACCTCATTCTTTTCTCTCCCGTAAGACATTTAAAAACTTTTCTTAAAAGACCCCGTAAGCGGACAGCCCAGATGGCTTAGCGGTTTAGCGCCGCCTTCAGCCCAGGGCGCGATCTTGGGGACCTGGGATCGAATCCCACATCGGGCTCCCTCCATGGAGCCTGCTTCTCCCTCTGCCTGTGTCTCTGCCCCCCTCTCTCTCTCTCTCTCTCTCTCTCTCTCTCTCTCTGTCTCTGTCTCTCATGAATAAATAAATAAAATCTTTAAAAAAAAAAAAGACCCCATAAGCATCTCCTCCTCCTTTTTCATTCAGTCCTTAGTCTCACTTTCACAGTTCACTTTTCTGAATCTCAAGGAGCTTATCTAACTGCTCTGCCTACAAGGTCTGGTTCATTTTCTCCAGAAGAGAAGGAAATTAAAATACAAAAGACTATTTTATACGATCTGTAGTACTATCTAAAGAATTTTTAAAAGGGAAATTTGAAAATCAGATATTATGGGTATGGATTGCACTTACTCCTGTTATCCATTCCAAGCAAGCACAAGCCTAATCAATACCTTAAAAACAGCTTTTTGGAGGCTCCTGTCCACTAAGGCACTGTGCTCCCACAGCTCTGATGATGGCTCAACTACAGTAGAACTGTCACTCAGTGAGGTTGTAGATCAAGTTACCCCTTAGATTTATATACAGACCTTTAATGAGTCAGAATAGAAAGTAGAGTCAAAATCACCAGTGCCCTGACTGTGCAGTAATTCACATTTGCTGATGTCTGACAGGTTTGATCTCGTTTTAGCTTCTTAAATTGCCTTGTAAAAAAACATTTCTGTGATCATGCTTTGGAATGTGTATAAGCATCCTGAAGTAAAATGTTTAAGGTTTTTAAGTGGTTACCAGAACTATTCAATTTCCCAAATCAAGTATCAGTTCTTTCGGTATTCGTACAGATTGGTATTTGATACTTAAGTGCTTGTAGAGGTTGATGAAGAATAACTTAAAAAGAAATTGCATCTGAAGTCACGCAGGTTGCTTGCCCAGCTTATAGTAGAAGAGTGAATGCCTATTTTTGTATATTAGGCATTAAGAGTAATGATAAAGTACCAGGTTTGTGTATTTGAGTTTTCCTGAGATTAATTCTTGATTTCTGCAGAATGACTTACCCTAAAAGCATGTGGGTGATTTTGAAAGACGAATAGAGCCTAATCTCTTTTAAAAATCTGTGTTACAGAAAATTAAGGAGTCTTAGTCATGATAATGATTAGAGATAGTAAATATTAGTCCAAATCTCATAGCTGTTTTTATGATTATATTCTTCAATCTCACCTAAACCAGTGCCTGATGAGAAAACAAACAGCACAGACATTTCTCCTCTATTACTTCTGAACAAAAACTATTTAGAAATGCTGGTTAGTTGGTTAATATCTAAATCAGATTATTTCAGTCCATTAAAATGACTGTTTGGATGACTGTTAGCTATATACTCTTAAGAGAAGCTGTTCTGTGCTGATGTCCTTAAAGAGTCCATTCCCATAAATGTTACACATAAATGATCTCATTATACAAAGATTATGTGAAATGAGAGGACAAAAGCTTCAGGTACTACTGTTTTAACTAGAGTAGTAGAAGACAGTCATCATCTTACCAGACTGATTAGTCAGTCTCTCAATGCTGGCAGACTCAAAGTCCAGATGATGACAGATGGTATTTAAACTACCTTGAAGTCTCTCGACCCTCTGAGTTTCTCTGTAACTCCACTAACTTTTTGTGGCTCTGCTTTCGTGGAACTCTTTATGCATGTGTTCAGATACACATGATACTATTTACAGGTTTTGCTAAGGGTTTTAAGTTTACCAAGCTGCTGACCCAAAAAGATTAGATACCTCTCAAAGCAGCAAGCAGTGTGTTTATACTTTTCATCTCTCCTCTCCCAAGCATTGCATATGGAACAGAAAAATACCTATTTTCTAGTAGTATGTCACTAAAAAAGAAAAGGTTGGCAATGGAAGGTGACATTCTTTTCAGGATACACTGATTTACACAGCCATCTGAAACACTACTTTAGAACAAGTCAGCAGGATTTTCCTTGTACTTCTACAGGCAGGGCCAGGGACAGGCTTATTACTAGACTAACAGAAGAATGGGATAAAGCAGCTCTCCCATAAGATGGACTACAGAGTCCATTGCCCTATAAGATTTCCTCTAGACTGTAGAGTTGATAAAGAGCTGCCCATACAAGCTGCCCACTTTTCCCAGTGACCAATATCAGAAATAAATTTCCATCCTGAAATTCAGCTAATACAGCTAAAATTCTCTGAGGGTTCCGTGAGGCTCTCCAAACCCCACTTAACCCTAGCATGTAGATGTTTACATAACCTTCTGTCATTATTGCTGGTCCCCAAACCTTACTTATCTAAGAGTCTCTTCTCCCTACCAGTTTGCACTGGTTAAACTGCCCTTGTGACCCAGAGTAGAGTTGTTCCTCCTCCCTGCCCCCACCAAAAAGGAGAACCTTTGAGCTTTCTTTGTTTCTCAGACTCTAATGTTTGAAGTGTGTGTGACTTGTTTTCTGCTATTACAGAAAATGTAGCTTTCTAGCCACAGTCTTTTAATGTTTTGAAATTTGTTCTTCTCTGACATGGAAATTATCTTTATAGACTTCTCTACAGAATCAGAAATCATCGTAGGCAGTGATAATTTGGTAGTAGAATTTTTTAAATGAATGTTTCTTAATGAAAGCCTGTTCTTTGAAGTTAATTGAGAGTGAAAACAGAATGATGAATGTGGTTGTTTTAGGGCAAGGCATGAAGTATGTTTTCAAGCTTATATACTAAAAAGTATTAACAGTAAGAAGAGACATCAGCATGTTCTTGAACTAAATATAGAGTTCTTTATCTACTTTCACTTTCATCTGGCAAATTAACCTTTTAAATTTGGGAAGCCTTGAAAGAATTTGGCCAATGGGTGGTTTGGTACATTAGCTAAAAGCTGATGAATCTTTTACACACACATTTACCATTCAAGGATTGTAAAACCAGATCCACAGTATACATCCACTGACCAGTTCAGGGACCAGAAGAGTCTTGAACAGATATCTAGTCCAGTGCTCTCATTTAATACACTTGTTACTAATCTATGGTTAGAAAACACACAGTGCCAAAAATCTAGTAATTGATTTATTTTCTTGTTTTAAAATGCTAGAATGTGGGGCAGCCCAGGTGGCTCGGTGGTTTAGCGCGGCCTTCAGCCCAGGGTGTAGTCCTGCAGACCCAAGATCGGGTCCCATGTCGGGCTCCCTGCATGAAGCCTGCTTCTCCCTCTGCCTGTGTCTCTGCCTCTCTCTCTGTGTCTCTGATGAATAAATAAAATCTTTAAAAATAATAATAAAATAAAATGCTAGAATGTGGCATTTCATCCACATAGGGCTAAGATAAAGGATCTACAGATCCTACAGAATAGAGTGCAGGCTACTTAAGATCTTACAGGTTACCTGTTCCTTTTCATGAACATTTTGGCTTGGATGGGGTCATCGTCTTTGTCCCTGGCCCTACTGGTTGTGGAGGCAGAGTGACAGATTATATCAATAATACGTTGAAAGTAATTCTAGATAACTGGCTAAGATTAATAATTTACTTCTTGGGCAGCCCCAGGTGGCTCAGCGGTTTGACACCACCTTCGGCCCTGGGCGTGATCCTGAAGATCGGGATCAAGTCCCACGTTGGGCTCCCTGCATGGGGCCTGTTTCTCCCTCTACCTGTGTCTCTGCCTCTCTCTGTGTGTGTCTCTCATGAATAAATAATTAATTAATTTAAAAAATATAATAATTTACTTAACACTTTTGGTTAATTTACATTTAACCAAAAGATTGTTGGTAAAACTATTTGAGAGAGTCTTGAGTTTTCTCAAGCAGCATGGAATGAGGGAAAGTTATCACACTTCTTCATTTTGGCTTGGAAAAGTCCTGAGGAGGATGTAAGATTTTCTGAAGAGTTATTTAACGAAAGCATGAAGAAAAAGAGAGGCAAACTAGAATGAATATTTGAGGGTGTGTTTCAGGGATGTGACAGATTGTGGCACTGTCCGTTTGGGGGTAGGAGTGATATTTAACTGTCTGAAGGAGTCAGAAAGGGTGCATTCTGCCTTCTCACATGTGGGACTCACAGCACAGTGGGGACGCTTGGTATGACTGCAAGAGGGTATATCGCTCAGCTTAGCTGGAGAGGAAGGAGTAGGAATGGGAGCAAAGGAAGACAGACTCTGAGGCCTTATACCATCCTGTGAGTTGTGCCTGAGGCTGTAGGACTTATAATTAGACTAGATCCATCACAGAGTAAGGAACCTAGTACCATATGCAGGAAACAATGCGAAGTGATAATTTCCAGTGGCGGTGAAGAGTAAGCAGGAGAGACACAGAGTGGGAAAGGACGCACTTCAAACTAGGGAGGCATAGGGAAGCATGGACAAATTGTGCTGTGACCACAAAGGGTGGCACCCAGAATGGCTGCAGAGTGAGTGGCTATGTGATAAAAGACTGTGATAAATTGAAAACAGACCCAGAGTTTGTTTGGAAGATGAGAGATCGAATGGCATTGTCTGAGTCATGGGAAATCCTGTCACTGAGCAGTTCTGTCTTGTCCATGGGTGGTTTCCTCTCAGGTGGGGTAGGATCAGCAAATGAGGAGTGGCAAAGCAGCAGTGGATGCTTAGACCATATGGCCTGTAAAAGCTACTGTCAATTTAGGATTAAGTGACTGAATCTAATGGAAAAGTTCTACAATGGATCAGTCACCTGTATATGTCACAGAGGCAATTACATTTAACCTTGGGAACCTATCCTTTTGCTTGTCTGTCCCTTTGGTTACCATATCCCTCTTTTAGTTATCAGTTCCTTGACCTTCACTGGCCACAGCCTGTCCCTTGTCTGTCCATCTCAGGCCTTGATTTCTTACTTTGTTCCCTTGATGTGCTTTGCACTCCACATATGCACTTGTAAGTTCCTGAACAGATCACTTCTTGTTCCCCTACCACCATCACCCCTGCCCCTGCCCCAGGGGCTTCCCACCACTGACCACTGTGTTCCTCAAGCCAGCTGAGCTCATCCCTGCCCGTGTCCTGTTTATTGATTCACAGCACAGCCAAATATTTGTTTCCAAAGATAATTATAATGGAAAATCTCATTATTAAAAAAATGAGTATGGGTTGATTGTGTTAGGGACCTTGGTTCTGTTTTCATAAATTTCTAAAAAATTAAAGGAGATCCTAGTAAAAGGAGCATATCCTAGATTATTGTAAAAATCAGAAATTCTGTTTGACCACATCTCTCCAAAACACATAATACAGTGCACACCCTGGAGACCAGCAAATACTTGAGAACAATAATGACAGGGAATAGAGATCGTTTGTTCTTCTTCCCAGTTTTTGTGCTATCTTCCAGGGATGGGAATAGCAATCCCTCTCTTCTTGTGTGTGTACAACACTATCCCCACAGTAGTAACTCATCAAATATTAGTTGAATTGATGTGTCCGGGGTCCACCAAATTGCTATATTTACCCACTTAGCTACATGTATTGACAGTTTACCACCAGTTGTTTTTTTTTTTTTTTTCATGCTTGGATATTCCTTTTTTTTTTTTTTTTAAGATTTTATTTATTTATTTATGAGAAACACACAGAGAGAGAAAGAGGCAGAGACACAGGCAGAGGGAGTAGCAGGCTCCACACAGGGAGCCCGACATGGGATTCAATCCCGGGTCTCCAGGATCAAGCCCTGGGCTGAAGGTGGCGCTAAACCGCTGAGCCACTTGGGCTGCCCCAGTTTACCACCAGTTCTATTAAAATGATATCCATCTGTAATATGGCCTTACTTGCTTTTCTTACCTTCCTTAGAATAATTTGAAATTTAAACTTGACAGAACATAATTTTCCATTCATTCAGCAAATATTTATTGAATGCCTATTCTGTCAAGTGCTGAGGCTTCACAGAAAGAATAAGCCATGGTTTCTGTCTACCAGGAGAACCCAGTGAAGAGAATAAACTCACTTGTATATAAATACTTGCACTATTACAGAATGGATGAACAAGTTGAGAGAGATTCAGAGTTCTTTGGCATCACAAGGGGTAGGGTAGTGAATCTGATTAGATAAGGAAAGACTTCTTGAAGAGGGCCTTCTGTGGAGAATAGGAAGGAACATAGTGATGTTGAGAGGTATGATCATATTTAGGTGGCTAGAGAACAGCCACAGCATTGCACACTGTGGGTGGGGACTTGCACAATGGAGGTCACCTTCCCTTCCCTTAAGTCCCTGTCATTGCCAAGTTGTTTGACCTTCATCCCACTATGAGAACCCATGGGAAGTATGTAAATGGCTGTGTGATCTAGTCAGACCTATGTTTCAGAAGAATGGAGGAGAGCGGAAGGCAGGGAGAACCCATTCACCTGCCTGACCCATTCTGGACTCCCAGGATGCAGCAAGGAACCATGCCCTCAAGGACCTGGCATTTTAGTTGAGAGGAAAGAGAATTTAAAAATATGCATATAGTATATGTCAGATCTTGAGAGGTGTGATAAAATAAGGCAAGGATATAAGAATGAATTGCTGAGTAAAAGGGAGGGTGCATGACCTCGGGTGTGGGCAGACTGTACATTTAGGAGCAGCGAGTCCTCGCTGGGATGGGGGAAGCAGGAAACAGATAAGTCCTGAACTGGGCCTGGCCAAGACCTTTATCATTCAAAAACAGAACCTCCTGGGTCTTACACAGTTGAGCACTATCCAAGAACATGAAAAAGGAATATCCCTAAAGACCAGCGAGTCAAAATGAGCTAAAGTGGGCACTTAGCACAAGTAGGATATAAACATCTTAAACTGAGCTGCTTGATTGTTTAGGGGACTTTCAAACTGTTAGGTTTCTAAGCAGAATAGCTTGAGGAAGGAGGGTGAGGAGGGTGAGCCCATACTCCGCATTGACCAATGTCTATGGTCTCCTCCCCAGCCCTGGCCATGGGTCTCTGTGTCGCCATGATCGCCTTTGTCCGCCTGCCCAGCCTCAAGGTGTCCTGCCTGCTTCTCTCAGGGCTTCTAATCTACGATGTCTTTTGGGTAAGAGTCTGTTTCCCTGAAGCCACTGCTCTCTATGGTGTTTAATTGGAGCACTCACTCCTGACAGTTGTTAACTGTTGTTAACAGTGAACTGTTAAGATCACTCTCTACAGTCCTGAACTGTACATGTGAGCAGGCATCTGTCCACGCCTTTGTTTGTTGAGACGTGTTAACCAGTTAGTGCATGTGTATCTCTAGGGGTAGGGGAGAGAGCAGACAGACAAGGTTCTCTGCCCTGGGAGCAGAGATTTTCTTCCTCCTCCAAGCATGCCGTCAAAATAGCTTGATGTTGCAGTATTTTGAGACTTTGCTCTTAAGAACAAAGAAGGCTGATGCTGAAATTAGGTTGCTTCCAGCTTCCTCTGTTAAAGATGCCTCTCCATTTGGCATTTGGCAGGTGTTTTTCTCTGCCTACATCTTCAATAGCAATGTCATGGTGAAGGTGGCCACGCAACCGGCTGACAATCCCCTTGACGTTCTATCCCGGAAACTCCACCTAGGGCCCAATGTTGGGCGTGATGTTCCTCGCCTGTCTCTGCCTGGAAAACTGGTCTTCCCAAGGTAGGACTGGCACGTCGGGCCTCCTGTTGTGATGAGGCAGTGAACACACTGTCTCCCTGTGCCTCGGTGTCCCTCAATTAGTCTTTATCATCAGTATTCTTCTCCTAGAGTGGAAAAGCGTTGTGAGTTATTTTCTCCATTTTACAAATAAGGAGAAGAATGTTGATTTGACTTGTAAAGATTTATCATTAAATGATACAGGTGCTGCTTTTTATTATTGATTAATGTTATCAAACAACCGTATGTTACTTCTGTTACCATATTTTAGAGTTGGCTGGAGGAAATCAACAGAAGAATCTGGATCTTTTTTACTTCTAAAATATTTGTAAAAATATGTACTAATGCTAAAATTCTACAGTTGCTGGTGATACAGTCTTGGAAAAATACTGTGTTGCTTTAATATCCATTTCTGGTAGTAGTCAGGTGCTTGTTTAAAGTCACAGAAGCAAATGTGTGACAAATACTGAATTGCTTGACATTTCTCGAGGAAGCACTACTTAGATGACTTTAGCAGTCACTTTAGAGGTGCTCTCCGGAAGCAGTGAGGAGCCTGGTTGAAGACATCTGTTGCCAGTACTCTTATGGCTTGTAATCTCTAAACTTTTACAAACTAGCGTTGTTCCACCTCTAGAGATTTCCATCTCCCATTCAGATAAGTCCAACCTCTTAAACAGCTGACAGACAACTGTGCACAGGAGGAGGAGAAATGGGATTGTTGAGGGTGGCATCCCTGACATGTGACACTACATTCCAGCTCCACTGGCAGTCACTTCTCTATGTTGGGCATTGGGGACATCGTGATGCCTGGACTCCTCTTGTGCTTTGTCCTGCGTTATGACAACTACAAAAAACAAGCCAATGGGGACTCCTGTGGTGCCTCTGGACCCGCCAATATCTCTGGACGCATGCAGAAGGTCTCCTACTTTCACTGCACCCTCATTGGATACTTTGTAGGTAAGAGAGAGCCTGCTTGTGATCCCTTCTGACTATCCTCCAAGCCCTGGAGTTAAATCAGGTTTTTTTAGCTGCAGACGCTAGATGGAAGGAGAGTAGCAACTCTCATTGCTCTTATAGTCAACCACAGAGAAAGAATAACAGTGGCCCATGAAATGACAGGTGCTGTCTATACTGGCCCACCCAGTTTCTCTATCCAACAGCATGTCTGAAGAACATTGTGGGAAGACTATGGTCAGGCCTCAGAGTCAGGAACATCTACCACGCAATGATTGTGGATCAGTCTGTGTGCTTAATTAAATCTTCAGCTTGAGGTTAACCAATGTCATGTTTATTTCCCGCATCATTTAAAAGGTATTTCCCTTCATTGGTCCTAACATGTCTATCACCTCTAACGTCAGATTCTCTGTGGGCCAGTTTTTCCATAGACAACTCATTTGTACACAGACAGGGAGAGACCCACATAATTGGGCTATAGGAATAGCGGGAACCTGTCTGTACCTATAGTGGTTACAGCAGAGTGGTTCATTTCAGCATACAGGCTCAGAGACTACTAGGATGAGTGGTGTTAGCCCTATTGCACAGTAGAGGAGGCTGAAGCTCAGAGAGGTGAAATGCATGACCAAAGTGACAAAATTTGCAGACTGGTCAAGTCAGGATTTGACCCCAGGGCTTTTTCCTCCAAGTCTGGGATTACATACCACCCGAGACAGGAGGACCAGGCACACTCAGGGCAGAAGTGAAGGCTTGGGCCAGGAACCTAAGCACTGAGGGGGGCATGGGCCACTCACAGGTCCTTGGAATTGTAGGACTTTCAAGCTGCACTGCTGCACACTGCTTTTGCTGCCATTGCTGAGCTTCTCACGCCCTTGCCACTGGACAGCATGTGCCACAGGAAAGCTGTCCTGTCAGGGCCCCAGCAGGTAGCAACCAGGTAGCAGGCTCTCCTCTTTGACGGCTGGTCCCTCGGTATTGCTCATGGATGTTTCTCCCCTAATAGGTCTGCTCACTGCGACCGTGGCATCCCGCATTCACCGAGCGGCCCAGCCCGCCCTTCTCTATTTGGTGCCATTCACCTTATTGCCGCTCCTCACGATGGCCTATTTAAAGGTGAGAGAAGCAGTTAGAAACCTGTGAAAGCAGTAACTTGGCACTGACCTTGGACTGGGGTATGTATTCTCCTTGCTGGAGGTGGGTCTGCTTGAGCCTTGGAGCTCTTGATCTTGACGGTGGGTCGGTGGTCTTTGCTCACCTGGTATTAGGTATCTTCCAGCCTGTTGCAGTCACTGGCAGAAAATGCTAGTGACTTAGACTACTGTGCCACCTGGTCATGGATGAACTAACTGAAATCCCTAGAGTTCAGCTACAGAGACTTCCTATTTCCCTTAAAAGCAGCACCATATTGTCACCTACCAGCTTTTTTAATACTCTGCATTAAAGTTTGGAAATATTTAAGAAATGTATGGTTACAGCTAGACTTTGGAGCATTACCTGATTTACAAGATTTGTATAATACCCATTTTACAGAGAAGGAGGCAGAGAGGTAAACTAACTTGGCCTCAGCATCTCACTCATAAATGATAGAACTTACACCTTTCTTTGCTTGAGGAGCCTAAGAGCTCTTCTAGTGAGTTCTTCAAAGAATGGTGGGTTACTTTTCAGTGAGTAAGATTAGAATGTTCTTTGATTCTCCACAGAAGCAGTCTGATCTAAGATCAAGAATCAGAAAGGACTTGTAGATGCGTGTGACTCATTTTTAAATTCATTACTTAGTAAAGTTCCTTCTTCCCTTCTTCCCCAGGGTGACCTTCGGCGGATGTGGTCTGAGCCATTCCACTCCAAGTCCAGCAGTTCCCGATTCCTGGAAGTATGATGGGTCCCAGAGAGTGACCAGAATGGCCTTCTGAGTCCTTTTCTGTCAACGCGTGGTTTTGTTTCCTCTTAGAGCTGGCCTGGTACTCGGAGATGTACCTGCATAGAGAACTGACGTGTGACTGGATTTTGCATTTGCAGGGAGCTTGTTTGCAGGAGCGAGGTGCTGGAGCCCTGCTTGGTTCTTTCTCTTCCTGCTGTTGTAGAGGTGGAGCCCCTCTTGAAGTGACAGGCCCTCCCCAGCGCTCCTTCTTCCCCCATTTTTATGAATCTGCACCAGACTGTTACCTGTGGGGGATGGAGATATGACTGATTAAAACTGACAACGGCGAAGAGTCGTTCTATACCTTTTGAACACTAAAAGGATGAAAAATATTAGCAAACCGAAGTTTCTTCAGTGAACCCTCAAGAACTTTGGGACCAGTTTCCTATGGGGGACTCAGTTTCAGAGAACTGAGACAGAAGCTCTTCTGTCATTATATTCTTTCCCTTTTTTGGATTTATTAAATATTTTCTGTGGTGTGAAGTGACTTATTAAATCCACAGACATTGAGTGACTTCTTACAACAATACACATAAGAATTTGTTGTAATGAGTTCATGTCCACCCAGATGTTGTGTTGACAGTGAACGAGGGCACGGTTTTTATACATACACACATGCGCACATAGATATATATGAATAAACAAAAATTAAAACCTGCTAAGATCATGCTGTGTAGCAGACAGGGACTTGCTGTAATTTTTAGCATGTAGAGCAGTTTACTCTGGCTTCCTTGTATATGGATACGCTGCTGTCTCTCCCTTCCACAACTGAACGTGCAGTTAAAAACCAGTATAGTATTCGTACTGATATACTCATGGACTTTCGGGGGCTCTCGTTTGGTTTTGATCAGTGTAGCCAATTAGGGATGAAAAGTTCAAACTTTTTGGCCCTTTTTTTGTTTTGTTTTTACAGGCTTCTCCCTTGCAGGATTTTTAGTAGTTTCTTCTTGAACCAATGCATGTAATATAGCAGCAGGTGTCTTTGTGCTTTCTGATCATAGTAATGTACTACTTGTAAATACATTTTTCTATTTTCTATTGTTTTTGTATTTTTTTTTTTTTTGGCATTTTGTTTCATTGGTGTGCTGTATTTTCCATGCCCTCACTCCTTGAAGAAAAAAAAGGAAAAAAGCAACACAATCCTGTCCTTGCTGTTGTGATTATAGTCTTGGTTTACCTGTGGTGACAGCTGGGTATTGGGAACAAATATCAGATGCCTCTCTGAGCTGGGCCCTACATTCCAGGCACTGCAGAAGGAGCAAGCTGCTCTTTCCTCTTAGAATCCGACCGCATGCTATGGTCCTTGCTGGAAAGCAGGCATTCTGGTAGTACCTAGTGTGATCGTATCAGCTTTTGTCTCAGCAGCCCTGGCCTCATAAGAAATGGCCCATTGTAGAGGCAGAGAGAAGCCTGCCTCTCTGGCTACCTGACAGCAGAGGTGAAAAGGGCCCACATGTCCTGGTTTCTCCCTTCAGCAGGTGACCTGCCTCTACCTTGACCTGTACAATGAACCAGTGTGCTGTGCTTCCCGGTGGACAGAGCTCATGAGCGGATACATGTCGCGCAGTCATGGGGGCATAAAGCGATCAGGATGGTGCCTCTTCTGTTGTGTCTTCAAATCCTGCTGAGGGCTGTTTTGTTTTTTGTTGTTTTGTTTTTGTTTTTGTTTTTTAATAAATGATTCCTTTCTAGCCTTTGTCACCTCATCTTCACTTTTGGTTGTTGGTACCACACAGAGCTACCATCACCTCCTACCTGCTCTACCTGTTCCAGAAGATAGGAGGACCCTGTCTATCTCCAGACAAGGTCACCTGTGGCTCTGGTTCATTCTTAGAGATGTCAAAGAACTGAAGCTTCCATTGTCCACAGAACTCCGAACAGCCTCTGAATTTGGTGAAGGCCAAAGGTACACTTGTGTGCTCGCTGTTTATCGGCTATACTTCTTTCTTACCCTTTGAGGATGTTAATGGCTAAATGGGGAATGGGTTGGGGGACTCTTCCAAAATGACTCCAGTTAAGGGTAAGTGCTAGTAATGGTTAGAAGTATTATCCTGGCAGTTGGTCATTTTTATTTTTATTTTTATAAAAAAACTAAATTCCAGACAGAAGGAAATACAATTTTTTGTTATCTTTGCTCCTGTGCAGCTTTAAGGGGAAAATACCCACACGTGTCCCTGAATGTAATTTGGATTCCAGCTGCTAATCCTCAAAGCCCTTAAAACTTGAGCAGAGGAACCACAGATACTCCTTTTGTTTTAACCACAGAAGACACATTAGAATTTCCCCTGTTCTGAAAGTAGTGCTCTTTGGGCAAGAGGAGGTGGGGGATGGGAGGCTGCAGTTACAGCACACAATTTCAGTCTTTCCTTATAGTCTTCTCCCCTCCCTTGCCCAATACATATTTATGTCCTTTTTTTTTTTTTTTTTTTTTTTTTTGGTTTCTCAGATGCTCTGAGTTCTAGGGTCTTCTAAGAAGTCTTCCATTAGGCAAGGCATGTTGACAAAAGTTTGGCACAGACCCTATTCCTTCTTCACTAGTCTGAGGTTCTTCTTCCTCCAAAGAGACTGCATGTTGGGACTCTCACTCATAGTAATTTTCTTCTAATTGGAGCTAATGAAAATAGACAGCAAAGTTTATCCAAAGCCTAGCATGTCCATTACTGTTATTACAGCTTCTGCTCTTCTGAATAAGACAGCTACACAACTCCTTGTGTAGGCATAGTTCAAGCCAGAGCTGGGGGTGGGTGGGAGGGTAAGCTTCTATCTAAATTACTTTGTAGCATGCCAGCACAGGCCTTGGTTAAACAGGTAAGTTCTGTTACCCACAAGAAAAACAAAAGGTTAGTTCTCTGTGAGGGTGGAGGGAAGGGAGTTCTGTTTTGTCAATAAAGTGTCAAAAATAGAATCTGCTGTGTCTGCATAGCAGCTCTCACATTACTGCTAACTGATCCAGTGTTGTATGTAGACATTTGTGCTTGGTAAAGGCCAACATTTACGTCAGAGGCTCGGAATGTAGCTGTTTTGTATATACATGAAGCACACTCATCAAGAACGTCAACTGCGATTCTTCTCCATAGAAGCAGGGTAGACAGTACGGGCTCTGAAGAAAAGCAGCCCATCCTACTTCTGGTCTTCCAGTGCATACTGGCCTGGACAGCCTCCTCCCTTCACTCTGTCACATTGCCTTCGCAATTTCCAACAATGAAATCACTTCAAGAATGATGGCTCTTATAGGTGACAGCCTTGCCCCGGAGTTTGTATAAAGTCCTACAGATCTGGCCGTAGAACTCGGGCTTCTTCACTGTTCCGGGAGGGATAAGCCAGGTAAGTATTTTATCCAGAAATTATTTCTATTCCTATGTAATTTATGGACCACTTTCTGTTTGCAAGACTGAATGAACTCTTCATGACTTCAAGTTTGGACTCTTAACTCCTCATGTGTATGGAGCCTCTCCCAAAACAGCACTTTGCCCACTCTTTGCAGCCATGTCAGCCATAATTTGTTTCCTCCTCAACATTTCCCTTGGAATTCAAAGCCTTTTCCCATCCACTGGAGGTAATTCAGAGTTGTTTCAACTTAAGCTGTGTCAGGCACTGGGTGCTCTGGCAAACAAAACCAAACAGCTGATCCTTACTGCAGGGGGTGCTTTACCACATATGGGGAGCATTGTCCCAATACACAGGTTCACTCAGCAACGCAGCACTGAGTTCAAGAGTGTGTGTGAACCTGAAATTGTCAGGAGGCATTTAATGAAGCACATTTATTTGGGATCAGAGTTGCAATTTGGGGTGCACAGATTTCAGTAGCAATTCAAATAATGTCCCACTGGAACAAAAACCAGAAGCTATTTTAAAATAAAAAGGCCATCAATCTGGCTTACAAAGCATTCTGATTGGTGGTGGCAGAAGCCTAATCTTGGCTGAACACAATTGGTTGCTAAGACTGTCCCCCAAAACAAAAGTCTGTTACTGTAGCCAGTTGCAGATCCATGCAGAGTCCATGGGAGGATCTGCGGTTTAGCTCAGTTCAAAAGTTCGTGGTTCCATCTGGTGAGGACATGCATAAGGTCCACCTCCTTAATGGCCTCCCAGCTCCTTTTAAAACTCCTTAAGGGACTCCCATTTTATTTCACCCTTGGCAAATGGAATCTAGAGCTTTCAACCCATGACTCTGGGCTTTCCTGTAAACAGCAAAGGCACGTAGCTGGGAATGTTTACGCACAGGACTAGATGCCCCCAACAAAGTTGAAAGCAAGGCTATAAAAATAGCTAACCCCTTTTTCCTGCACTGTGGTACAGAAGTCCAGTGCTCCTGACTGTATAAACTACAACTGAAAAAAGCACGGAGCACGTTATCTCTGCAGCATGGTTTAGAAATCTTACTAAGAGCCAGCAGCAGTTCAATTGTGGAAATTCTAACTTTATGCAGTGCTTTCTCATAGTGATCACTTTGGTGTGCTTATATAGAGCTCTTACATATTCGAGTGATTAAAGATTCATACAGCAGACTCAGACTTGGTTTATGGCTCTTCCAATTTGGATGCTGCCCTATCAGTTAAGTTCCAAGAAGTCTATCCCCTCTTGGGTAGAAACTGTGTAACTTGCTCCTGGTTTGCAAGTGAACAGTGTTCCTGAGAGGTCCTTAAATAGAGAACTCCATGAGCGTGCTCCAGGCCCCATGAAGTCCCAGGATTCTCACTGGATCCCAAAACGACAGAGGAATGGGAACCAGTAGGGAGTGGAGGAAACAAAGCTTGAGACGGGAAGCTGGGAAATCTGCCAGGCAGTGGGCTTTTGCCTTGTGAGGAATGAAAGATAGGAAGTGGGTGTCCACAGAACAAAGAGATGGAGAAGGGGCAGTAAGGTGGCCATGTGCCAGCATTCCAGCCTCAAGATTTTGAATGCCAGTTCCTCTGCCTGCCAAACACTGTATACCTGCAGAAAACACCCCAAACAAGCTACACCACCAACTGGAAGAATGAAGAAATCCAGTCTTCAAAGGAAAAAGGTTCAACCACAAAGGCTAAAAGTTAGGTGCAAGTTACCTATCCACCTTCTAATGATACCGTTCATTCAACCCACCTGGACTTTCTAGCGCTTGCATTTCTGCAGGCATATAGTAACACATCCTGGGACAGCTATGCCTTGCTTTACAGGCTTCCTGGGGAAGGCAGACACCTAATTTCAAGAAAGAGGTAAAGGACTTGGTAGTATGGGAAGGAATACTCCTGACTTCTAAGATGACAAAGCATTGTATGATAAGTTATGGTCTTGCTAACTTTACAGTGGTGGAAAGAGTGCTGCCCTCCGTAAGGCTGTTGGCAGGTTTGGCCAGAGTTGATGGGCCACCTCACTTGGGCCAAGAGCCCCAGGCCTACCCAGAAGCTTGGGGAATGGAGAGACACCTTTCCGCTACTCCAGTGCCCATGCCTTTCAACAGCCACAGGTGCAATCGGGACCTGTGCCACTAGATGTCACCTAGTGGATCTCCCTGCTGCCATCCTGTCCAGCTTTCACCATGGTTTTCATGGAGCTCTTCTGCCAGTAGGCCTCCTGCTAGGCAGTCCAGTACAAGGTGGCTGGAACTAGGAGGTGGGAAGAACCTGCTGTCACACTGCAGGGTGGGGACTGGAAGGTGACTCCACAGCTTTTGACCTGAACAATTAATTGCCAAAACTGAGAGGAAAGAGGAGGAGAAGAGTTCTGGTTTAGCCAGTAGAGCAGCTAAAACTAAAGAACTTGGTATATCTTAAAGGTAGAAATGTACATTACCCAAGGCTTTCAATACTGAGATCTTCTCAATAGTGAAAGGAAAATGACTCCCATGGCATTCTGTGTGGTTAGGCATCTGTCAGAGTTGTCCTCACACAGCCACATGTGGCCTGGGGTTAGTGAGAAAGCCCTTCTGGGCCTTAGGGATGAAGGTGCCTTATTTAAAGTACTGAACAAATACTAGGCACTCTTCTGGCCTGTTGAGTTTTCATGTACTCTACACAATTTACCAGTCTTCATGGCGTTAGAATGCAATTAAATTAATC